GAGCTCGCCCAAGAACTCACAAATACACTGTGCAGGCTGGTCACCAGTGATGTGCAGAGAACAGGGTGGGGGTAGGATGACTCTTGCAGGCTTCTGTGGTTGCAAGAGGGTCAGGGAAAGTCTCCATGAGAAGGCGAGAGTTGAGTGAAGACACAAGAGAAGAGAGACTGAGCCATCTGGGCATTTCAGGGGGCAGCATGCTAGGCAGAATGCCTGGAGGAGAGAGCCAGAGTGAACCATTATGTTAAGCCCAGGGACCCTGCTGGAGCCCACAGGCTCCTGAAGTGAGCTTCCACCCCTGGCCCTGGGTCCACAGGAGGCTCTATACAAAGGACCAGGATTCACTGTGACAATAAACTGGCACTTTTTCCCAGGGTCTTGTAGACCTGGAACCCTGAAGTTGGCTCAGTGCATTCTCAGGCTCCCCCACATCTTCCATCATACCCCCCGCCCCGCCTCTGCCCCACCTACTACTCTTGTCCAAGTCCCTGGAACTGGATGCTTACCACTGGAAGGGGACGTCACATGCCCAAGAACTTGCCAATAGAAAGGAGGACCAACGTCCACTTCATGCTATGTACTCATATCACCGTGCTGCTACAAACGCAAAGCTTGAGCCCAAGGAGTGCCATGCTCAAGAGCTCTGAGAAGCAGGGGACAAGGCCGCTGAATTACAGATGCGGAAATGTATCGCTATGTGAGAAGTACCTGGTCCTCTGTGGAGCACATGCTAGCAGGGAAAGAAAACATAAAAGGCCGAAGCCAGAGCAAATGAAGACTAAATGTCAAAGCACTTACTGTGAGGCAAAGCTAACCCACCCGAAGAGGTGAAGCACCAGATGCCCCACTCAGAGATGCTGGAAGACAGGCACGAAAGGAAGCTAAGACATCCACTTGGAGAACTCAGGAGGCCGACTGTCAAGTTCAGGCTTCTAGTCATTTCCTGCTAAGTCGATGGCTTGCCACATTAGCACACGGGCATTCTAGTCCAGGAAAACCAACAGGATTTCCCTTCAGAAAGACTTAAAGATCATGCAAATATTTGAAAACAGTCCTCCAAATTCTAAGGAGACAGATCCTGCAATATTTGCGGAACTATTAAACCTATGTTATTTTATGACAGGAACTTTCCGACACAAAAGGAAGCCTCTTTAACAGTCCATGTATCCTATATATAGTTAAACTCTCCAGGAGAAGCTACAACAGAATTTTGCCACTTAAAACTAGGGTGGTTACAACTGCAGTACCATGGGTTATGGCATTTGGTCCATACCGATCCTTGGATAGGAATACGGCTCCTCTGTCTCAACCGTAACCCTGCTGCTATGCATTAGGCTCGCCAGACTCCGGGAACAAATGCTGGCTAGGGGCATTAACATGCATGGAAAGTCCCACTTACTGACCCTGTCCTCAGATCAAACTAAATAAGCATTTAACATGACAGAGAACCTAAGGACCTGAAGACTGGACTTTTAGCAATAGCGATCTCTACTGCCCCCAAGTGGTCATGAGTGGTGTGACACCCTCCACAAGGAGTGTCCTGAAGCATGAAAATAGCCTATCAGTAAGGTTTAAAAGTCAAGGGATCAAGAAAATGTGGTATATATACAATGGAATTCTATGCCTCCATCAGAAAGAATGACATTGCCCCATTTGTTAGGAAATAGAAAGACTTGGAAAAAATTCTATTAAGTGAAGTAAGCCAGGCCCAAAGAAACATAAATCCCATTGTTTCCCTTATTTGCAATAACTAGTATATGTCTGAGACAAGTAGAAACAGTCAGACAAGTCGATGTTAGTGAAATGAACCCCAAGATAAGGACTCAAATATTTTTTCTTACTGTTTCTAACATATTTATAAGATGATTTCTTTGTGGCTTTGTATGTCCCTCTCCCACAGTATAAACCCTGTTTTCACTGTATTTGATGTTGGTATAATTGTGGAGAGGAAGGGGAAAAACAAGTTGTTTAAATAGGGATACAGGTGGACCCATTGCAACAATGAGATGTACAAGACTTTATGTCGAAAAACGAACTTTACAACTTTGGGGGGGAGGGGTAAGGGACAGTAAGGGGAAACAAAAAAAGAGGCAACAATGCTTGATAAGAAATGTACTCATTACCTTGCCCATGTAATTGTAATCCCTCTGTACAGTATTTTCACAATAAAAAATAAATTAAAAAAAAGTCAAGGGATCTGGGCTGGGATGTAGCTCAGTGGCAAAGCACTTGTCTAGCAAGTACAATGTCCTAGATTCAATCCTCGGTCCCAAAAAGAGAAGACAAAAAAATACAGTTAAAACCAAAAAAAGTCAAGGAATATGAGAGAAGGAGGCTAAGGAGAGAATGAACTGTTTCACATCAGCTCCTTCCCATCATAAAAGTTTGGTGGGGAAGGAAAAACAGAGTTGAAAGTCTGCATGCAAAGTAAATGTTTCTGTAGACCACTCCATGGCCCAGGACAAATCACCTCTGAATAGACACATAATCACAGACAGTAAAAACCGTAAGCATACATGTAATCTTCATTTTAACTTTTTACATGAAGATCTTCTGTTGGTACCCTGTAACTTGCTTTCATATTTAACACTGCCATTATAAAGCACTGTATACAGAGATAGTACAAAAATTAGTCAACACCAAAAAGATACCAGATGGGGCAAGGGAGACAAAGGAGGAAATAATTTGAAGAGGGCATCATGTAATAAATTTATTATATTTTGTTACATTTTCCACTTTTCTCTTAATTCCAACTGTATACTATATCATCAACTGCTGTTCTGGAAATAAAACATTTTAAACATAAAAATATAAATTCTGCTTCTTAAAAGTGCATACAACCTTGAATAATAAAACATACAAATAAATAATAGAAGTCAGTGACACACCCCATGCGCCTGTTGGAGAAGAAACTGAAAATGAGAAATATATACTTGGCATCTGGCCTCTAGGAAAGAGATTGGGCCTTCCATCTTTCCGTGTAACTGAAGAGGAAAATCGCATGAGCTAGCAGCCCGCGGAGGAGGGGCTGAAGCAAGGTGTTCAAAAGACAGGACATGCAGCCTTAAGGAACACTAGAGAAAAGCTAGCACAAATATGGAAGGGTTTGATCACAAGGTGATTTTTGTAATGGGGCTTGAATTCAATTTTAACCAGTGGTGAGAGGCACAGTTGGTGTGCAAAATCTCGAACTTTGTTGTCCGACAGGGTGGCTGCCTTTCCACTCAGTAAATAGCACCTAGGAAGGTCATACTGCATTGATCACCATTCAGTGGGCTTCACTACCTTGGGAGGCCTTGGTAAGGAAGCATTCCCAACTTGGATTGTTTTCCTTCTAGCTCTTATCCCTTAATATCTAGAAAGTATTAGATAAATTGTGTTTTATTTTCTTTTTGTAGGCAGCAAAATGCTCAACAGAATGAAACCAATTGAATACAACAGATTATTTTTTAAGATGTTACGTGTACCCAGATCACCACAGATTAAAACTAAATTACATTTGCCTCCTGGGGTAACATATACTGCCAAATGTTTGGATAAATTACTTTTTAAAAAATTACATGAAAAACAGTATTGAGGGTTACCACACACACACACACACACACACACACACACACACACACACACACACACTCCCAAGTAAAATGTTTCCCATTCATTTCTCAAATTAAAAAGATTTCTTGAAACTACATTTGGGAATGAACTACAGTAGAGAATGAACTAAGAAGGTCCCTCAGCTAGGGTTAGCTATTTTAATTACTCCAAAATGGCAATATGATAGTATGAAAAGCAGGGTCAGCTTGTTTGTTCAGGGCTGCGATTTTCTGGTTTCATCTTCCCTCCTCCCCGTCAGTGCCACCGTGGAATCTGGAAGAAAACCTCTGGGGCAGGACCCACACCCTTCAGACTCTCAGTCTGCATCAGCAATTAAGACTACCAATTCCTACCTGACTAGCAGATGCAACACTCCAAAGTCAAGCTTGCGATCACAAGGCCCCTTAGTTGAAGAAGGAGGCAGACACCAGTACTTCTCTTAAATCTTCCTAACCCAACTGAGCAACTAGAGCTGCTCCTGACTTGTGGCAGTAACTCTCTACAAAGGGGGTCTGACTGCAAATCTGAAACAGCTAGGTAGTTCCTGGGACCTGCCCCTCTACTAATTAGATCAACAGCTGGGAGGGGGATGGGAATTCTAGGTACTGCTGAGGATCACTCAGTCATTCACTAAAAGAAGCCTGGGGAGAGCCACGTGTGGGATTTGAAAAGTTCCTCAAGTCTGCTAGGAGCCCTGGGAAACACTGGCTGTAAATGCATGCGACCCGAATGTAGCCTAAGACCACCACACAATAGCAGCTCTGAGTGGAAAGCACCAACTCTTTCTTATACTGCCCAATATACTAAATTTCTGCACTATTTGAAGCCACATTCTTTCCTTAGGACAGCGGTAGAACCCTAGAAGTTATAAAAAATGAAAATCTATTAAAAAATGGCAGGTTATTTTTAGAATACTTCAGCAAAGTCTCCAGGCTATATACACCAGTCCAGGTTCACCATATCCAACTCCATTCTCACCTGCCAAACGCTGAGTATTTTACAAGCACTCTCACCAATGATCCACAAACACCCCAGACACACATGCAAGGCAAATGGAAAACTCACATTCATGCTTATGCTTGCTCATCTTTACTGATTAAGCCATACTGTAAAAAATTACAAATTCAAAAATAGAGAGCTCCAGCCTGCCACCAGTGGCTCACACCTGTAATCCTAGCTACTCAAGGAGGCTGAGATCTGAGGATCACAGTTCAAAGCCAGCCCAGGCAGGAAAGTCTGTAAGACTTTTATCTCCAATTAACTAGCAGAAAGCCAGAAGTGGAGCTGTGGCTCAAGTGGTAAAGCACCAGCCCTGAGCAAAAATGCTAAGGGACAGTGCCAAGGCCCTGAGTTCAAGCCCCAGTACACACACACACACACACACACACACACACACACACACACACACACACACACACACACACACACACACACACACACACACACACTCCAAAATCTGAGTTGCTTTATTACTTTTTGGTCGCATGTGGCCTTGATTTATTGGTTGCTTGCATAGGTAGTAAGAGCATGCTTTCTGGGCGAGATGGAAGTCATGCAAAAGTGTCACCACTTGGGGGGATGGTCACACTCACAGTGCACTGCACACACACACTACAATGGTGTTCGCGTGCCCCATGGGCAGCTAATGGCAAGGAGGACAGCTTCACATTCAGGGAAGTCTTGTGTTTATGACAGGTACTAGGTTTGTCAGCAAAATGTGCCCCTTCTCAACTCCCAAGAAATGAACGCTTCAACATCCCCCCAAGGTATGTTTTCTTGAAACGGTGCCAATGATTCTCTCACTAGCTCAAAAACCCGGGCCAGATATACTAATTCACTTCGTGTCCAATAATGGCAACTACTCAGGAAAGAAACACTGGAGCTGTTCAGGAAATTTGTCAGGATGAATGTCCATCCATTTCAAACAACACTTATTTGGCCTAAGTGAGCTTTCCTCATACCTCTTCTTCATCTTTCCCACAGCTGCTACTCCTGTTCCCTTTACATGGTGTCCCTGTGACTTTGATGAGTTCCTGTAGAATAATGACAATTCTTACTCCACCCCACACAAAAGAACCCCACATGCACCTTGTACAAACACAGACCAACAAAATCCAACGCGAAGGATGCTCAAGCCCTAAGCAGCAGAGGCTAGAAGAGGGCGATGTCTGCAGAGAGGAGAAAGGGCTCATTGGCATGCTCAAGAAGAACACTTCACTTCTCTGTGGCAAGGACTGTCACTCACCTAGGACATCATGAGCATTCCCTGGTGCCCAGCTGTGCTCCTAGGGCTCTGGCAGCTTTCAGCTTCCTTGCTATACAAAGCAGACCCTGAATGAGCAGGAGGTGGCAGAGAATCTAAAATGACAAGAAGCTGGGCTGGGTAGTTCACATCTAGAATCCTAGCTCCCTGGGAGACTAAGCTCAGGGCAAGGGAGATAAATGTTTGAGGCCAGTCCAGGTAAAAAGGTGTGACACCTCCATCTCAACAACAACTGGGTACAGTGGGGTTTTCCTCTGATCCCAACTATGCAGATAATATAAAAACAGAAAGATCACCATCTAGGCCAGCCCAAGAAACAGCAAGTTACTCAAAAAAAAAAAAAATTTTTTAAAGCAAAAAGGCTGAAGGCATGGCTCAAAGGGTAGAGTGCTTACTTAGCAAGCATGAGGCCCTGAGTTCAAACCCCGCAAGAATAAATAAAGGTAAGAAAATGTAACAACAGGAGTATAAATTTCTCTGGGCTTCCATGTTACCAAAGGCAAGATGGGGGATGACTTAAGGAATGCTGGAGTGTCAGTGTACTAGTATTTTACAGAAAAAGAAATCAAGAAGAAAAAAGTTCATTTTAAAGCAGACAAACATTATAAATGCAATACTAGTGTTGGTGAGTGTGTGGTGCTCTGATAAGCCCATCTCAGGGCCAACAAGAAACCAGGTCTACTACCCTCGGACATGATTTCAGCGAAAGCACACACGTGCTTTCTGTGCCAAATACTACTAGAAAAAATATTAAAAAAATAAATAAATCCCACCAAGTCTTTAGCCTACCACGAACTGAATAAAACCAAGAAACAATGGTCCTATAAGATGTCATATGCTTCAAAGAGCACTTCAAACTTCTGGGGAAAATATCTCTTCTATGTCTTAAAGCCATATCAAATAATCAGGAATAATATCATTTCCACTGTTTACCAAGCACAGAAATAGCTTAATGCCGAGACAATGCCATAATACTTCCTTGTGCTTTCTATTTAATTAAATGTGAAATGAGGACTACTAAACTCTAAAGGCATACAGCTTATGGATTTTTATTATTAAAATTTTATTTCTTATATTCCCATGAAAAATTCAAAGACACAGAGTGTTAAAAAAAAAAAACTATACATAATGGAAAATCCATACTCATAGGACTCAAGAATAAAACCACCTACCATTCATTTCTACAAATTTATTTTTATAAATGCTTAAGTGATTATGTCGAAAAAAAGGACATGTTATTAAAACCCTCTGTCCAAGCAAACTATGATTCTATGGCCTGTTTCAGCACTTCAGACAGATTCTGAATGGGGTTTACCTACTGCACAAAGACAGGAAGTTTAAAATCAGATCCTATCCGATTCCTGATACTGATGACCTCGGGTTCAGTACACCTTCCTCAGGAAGCAAAAGCGAGATGGGAATGTGAGAGTGGGGTACACACTACCTGGATGTTCCTCAACTGTTACAACGACAGAAACAAGGGCAGCCAGGCATCTGAGTCACAGCAAGGCAGAGGGCAGGGCTGCTTTGCGAAGTCATGAGATCTACACAGTAAAACGAGGATACCTATGGTAGTGGGCAGTGAGCACACATGCAATGAACTGCATGCAGCTCTATGGTACCATGCCCCAGGCTGCATATGTAAGCCTTAAATGTTGCCAGGGCAAGCCGGGCGCTGGTGGCTCATGCCTGTAAGCCTAGCTACTCAGGAGGCTGAGATCTGAGGATCGTGGTTCAAAGCCAGCCAGGGCAGGAAAGTGTCCGTGAGACTCTAATCTCCAAATAACCACCAAAAAAACCGGAAGTGACGCTGTGGCTCAAGTGGGAGAGTGCTCGCCTTGAGCAGAAGAGCTGAGCAGAGCCCAGGCCCAGAGTTCAAGCCCAGAGTTTCAAGGGCGAAACATTCTAGCTACCTCAACTAAGAGGGCCTCCAGCCCTGTGAATTACCAGCTAATGATCGAATTAGCAGCAAATTTAAGTAACCTGGTAGAGATATTTCCCAAGAGGTATTCATGGGGAGGAAAAAAAGGAAAAATAAAAGGCAGTGCAGAATTGCCAGTTATGCATGTGTATGTGCTAAAGTTACTTTATACACAGCAAGACTGAAAAGAGGGATTATGTATGGACCCACATGTGCACCAAAAGCCCACAGAGAACTCCAATAGAGAACTACAACCAAGAAAAAGTTAGCATTAAAAAGCACATGAACGTATGCCAGGTGCCGGTGGCTCATTCCTAGCTATTCAGGAGGTTGAGATCTGAGGATCATGGTTCAAAGCCAGACAGGGGTAGGAAAGTCCATGAGACTTTTGTCTCCAATTAACCACCCCCAAAAAGCAAGAAATACAGGTGTGGCTCACATGGTAGAGTGCCAGCCTTGAGCAAAAAAAGCTTAAGAACAGCACCTAGGCCCTGAGTTCAAGCCCCAGTACCAGCACGTGCACACACACATACATATACATACATACACATACACACACACACACAAAAGCACATAACAGCAAATAACAGCATGCTCTAGTTTATGGCAAAGTGACAAATGCTATTCAAGGGAGACTCAGGACCACAATTCCCTTAATATTTTTAAAAACTAGAAAAAGTGAAAAGTTAAAAACTGAGCTGCAAGGTATTGCCAGGAGAATTATAAAACTGAAAAAAGTAAACACTCTGTTTGTCTGTGAGATTTCTGTGGTTTCCCTTCTATGATCTGTGCCAACATACTCCAAATTCCACTCCAAAATTCATCTTTAGCACAAAGACGATAAGGCTGGGCCTGAAGTACATCCATAACATTGTGCCACACATAGCAGGAGCCACTTCCTTCCTTTGCAGCTGGACAGGACACGAGTTTACACATGAGGACAGCAGGGAGCAACCCTCTCTAACAGAACAAAGCACCCCCACAGGAGGAAATGGTTGCAATCCATGCCACCATCGTTAAAGCTGGGCTTTGCTAGGGAATCTTTCAGAAGGGCTAATTACTCTCTAGTATAGTTCAAAATCCCAGTGGGGGCTGGGAATGTGGCTTAGTGGTAGAGTGCTTGCCTAGCATGCATGAAGTCCCAGGTTCAATTCCTCAGCACCACATAAACAGAAAAAGCCCGAAGTGGCACTGTGGCTCAAGTGGTAGAGCGCTAGCCTTGAGCAAAAGAAGCTCAGGGACAGAGCCAGGCCCTGACTTCAAGCCCCAGGACTGGCAAAACAAAAAACAAAAAACAAAACAAAACAACAACAACAACAAAAAAACAGTGGCCATATTTAGAAAACTGGTACCTGGATCTCTGGCCAAGCAATCTGGTATCCCAAGAGCCACCTCTGCAGCTCTGAAAGCAGCAAAAGACTTCTGTCTCCCTCTAAAACATCTGGGTGTGGCAGCAGAAGTGACAGTCACTCACGCCACCTTCCTCTTGAATGCTATTCACCGATGTCCATCATCCTAGTCTAGCCGAGTCACATACCTGAGAACATTAGTGAGGAAAGCTCGACCTTCACAAAGACAAAAGATGGGCTCAGAGCGCGGAGAGCAACGGCTGCCCTCCACTCATTTCCCTGCTGGTATCACAGGTTCAGAGCTCCTGGTGCCACTGGCAACTCACGAGGACAGGTCCTGCTCAGATTAAAGACAAGTCAGATAACTTCCTCTCCTATACACTCACCATGGCTCAACTAGCTCGCATGTTTCAAAACAAACCCGAGTATCCAACAAGTCATCCACGTTCTCTAGAAAGACGTAGCACAGTTTTTGAAGGGACTGTCAGGGTGCAGTCTACAATGACACCAGTCAGCTTGCTAACAATGCTTTGCCTATGGCTGTTATTTGGTTCAGTGACATAATAAGGTGACATTTCAGCAATCTGATTGAATTCTACACACACACAGAGGCGAGCGCACACACGCGCGCGCACACACACACACGCACACACGCACACTCGCACGCACGCACGCACGCACGCATACACAGAGGCACATGACCCAAAAAATACAAAACAAAAGCAGAGAGGGCTTTAGTGGGAGAGAGGGTTCTAAATAAATAAACATCTTTACAGATAAAACACTTGGGGTGCAGAAACGTCACTGAGGTTTCTGAGAAGGCCGTGCAGAGCTTTGCATGCTGGAAGCTAACTTTTTGGAGGCTTTCTCTGAGGCCTGCCTGCCACTGGGAGACGAGGGGACTCCAGAATCCAGCTGGGAAGACTTGGGTTTGCGGGAGGACAGCAGGGAACGCTTAGCAGAAGCAGCGTCCTTAGAGGTGAGGTCTTTACCGACCACATTCCCGCTTGGCTGCTGGGAGCCTGGAGGCTGGTCTTTCTCAGCCTTGTCATCTGGGGTATTCTTACCCACTGACTTGACAGAGCCCCCAGCAGCCTTTTTGGCGAGCAGTGTGGTCTTGCCCAGATCAGTGGACCGCCGAGTCTCCTTCTGTCTCAAGGCCGACTTGAAGAAGGACAGTCCCTTGTCCTCAGACTTGCTGTCCCTCTTCAGGCCGGAGCGCACGCTGGCACTGGGCGAGCGCAGGCTGGCCATGGAGGAGCTTCGCACGTGCTTGCCATCACTTCTGCCCTCGCCTGCTCTGGCCTGGCTCACCCGAGGGGAGGTGGGTTTGGAGGTGGAGATGACACTGGCTCTGTCGGAGCCCAGGCTGTGGCGGGAGCCCTCTCTGCTTAAGCTCCGATCTGAAGTCCTGCTCTTTCCAGGAGGGACGGTGCCCCTGGGGGCAGGGCCCGAAGTTTTTTTGGCAGCTGTGGAAGCTGCAGAGTGAGCGAGGGCAGAGGAAGGCTTCTGCTTCTGCGCGCAAGGGGAAGACACGGAGTCCTGGGACTTGGAGGATGACTCCTTTCTGGGCTGGGCCGGCGCAGGGGCTGAGTGCCTTCCACTGGCCCTAGCAGCAGAGTCTGCTTTGCTGCGAGAACGGGAGGGCTTCAGAGAAGCCTTCACAGGGACGGGCGAGGAGGGGGACGTACTTGAGAGAGATGAGTCCTGGCTCGCCAGGGCCGGCCGCCCCTTGCGCACACCCCTCTCTGGCTCAGGGGCACCTCTGCCACTCGAGGGCCTCCTAGCTGTGCTCTCAGGCTTCTTTGTGAAGGAGCTTGGGGGGCCTGGGGGCTTCACCTCTTTGACGGGAGAGCTGTCCACGGAATCACTCTGGTCTACATAGGCAATCTGGTTGTTGTTGTCAAATGGATCAGATGGGGGGCAGATGGGGGACAGGCGATCCCCTTGTGCTAAGTTTTTGTTCTGTGCATCTAAAACACTAGAGTTCAATTTGCGGGCATCTGACTCGTCTTTGAACACACCTTCCATGACAGCCAGCGGGGCCCGGCCTGCAACCTTGTGCTCACGGCGACCATGACTGTCACTTGGCTCCTGGTAGCTGCTGGACAGGTTCCGTAAGCTACCGAAGCAAGAGATGGAGACCTTGTCGTCCCCGGCTTCCCCAATCCTTTCCAGGGTAGAGGCAGAGCCGTGAATCGGGGAGTCCCCTGAGAACCGGGAAGGAGAACTGGAGCGCATCTGTAGCTTGGCAGACAGGGACCACGAGGGTCTCATGCAGTTTTCGTTGACAGCCAAGGGGCTGGTGACGGAAGATCTGGATGACAAGCTCTGACGCTGGACGCTTCTCACGAATGGTCTAGTTGAAAAGCCTCCTGAACACAGCACAGAGAATTCTGTTACAACAACAACAGCATTCCAGTAAGGTCTTAAGACAATGAGAGAGAATGCAGGCAAGCCACACAGAATAAAGGAGGATGACCTTCAGAGCCAGCCTGTCTGGGACCAAAGACAGCCACATGGCTTCCACCTCTTGGAGTCCAGTTCCCTCATCAACACAACAGGTCATTCTAACTCAGGAACCAGCAAGCCACTCTGTGCCACCTGGCCCACTTCTCCCGGAGAGGCCCTGGTAACCAAGGAACCACTCAACTCTGCCACCACAGCACACAAACAAGCACCACTGGGTGCTAAAGTGTTCTTGTGGTAAAAGCAGCAGGCCACATGTGGCCTGTGGCTTGTAGGTGGCTGGCTGACAGTATGTCTCATGTGAGAATTCAAGAAAATCTGACAAATATGTGGACAACAGGGAACCTGGAGTTGCAAGATGCTCACTAAACATGAGCTGTTAATCCAGCCACTAACTAGGTCCTCTGGAAGGGTATCTGGGCCCCAGAGAATGAATTTCTGGCCAAGATGACACAAAAAAAAAAAAAATGAAAGGCAGAGCTAACACCCAAACCTATCACAGCAGGTAACTTAGTTATTACTGAAGTGCATCAGTGGAAAGAACCAGAGTGTTGGGTGTAATTAATAAACACTTTCCTGAGTGGTCCAAAGCCTCAAAGGGGAAAAAACCTGACTACAACAATATACTTGTACTTGCAATGACTTTAAATTTCTGAAGAAAATCCTTTAAGTTGAATTCTATCTAACACATTTGCTACTGAGACTGTGGCATTGAAAGAAACAGTCTAAAATCCTAAGATATGCTCTGGCCTGTGTACCACCCAGCATCATTAAATGATGGTAAAGTGTAAGAGGACATTGATTTCCCCAGCTACACTAGCTTAAAAAATGGGTCAGAGGGTAGGAAGGTGGCCCAGTGGTAGAGTGCTTGCCTTGCATGCATGAGGCCCTGGGTTCAATTCCTCAGCACCACATAAGCAGAAAAAGCCGGAAGTGGAGCTGTGGCTCAAGTAGTAGGGTGCTAGCTCTTCAGCTACACTTGAGCTGAAGAGCTGAGGGACAGCGCCCAGGCCCAGAGTTCAGGCCCCAAAACTGACCAAAAAAAAAAAGAGGTAAAAACTGGGTCAGGGCAAACCATCCTGGACTTACTGTTTAAACAACAGTAAACTCAAGCTTTATAGGCAGGATACAAATAACCTCTTCCTATGCAGACCTGAGTTCACTAGTTGGCCTCGTGAGATATCAGGAGCTAGATGCAGCTTAGCAATGCAGTCTTGTGCTCTCATTTTACAAATAAAGTAACAAGCCAGAAGAGGAGGCAGACCGGTCTGTCTTCTTCCCCTGACCTCCCACCCCATGTGGTGGTCATTTCATTTCCTCAGCATCATGCATTACACCAGGAGCAAATCAGAGCGATCGAAACACTGGCCACAGAGTGAGCATCCCTGGACAATGACTCGTTGTGCTCCTTCTGCAAGCTGAGCTCACCTGTCTTCCTCCTAGCTCTTGAGACCAGGGATGCCCAATCCCCACCGCTGCTTCTGGTACTCTCTGTCAGAACTACTATCCTGCTGTTACTCAAGTTATAACCAAGTAAAAGTTACAATCAATTAAATTCCATTTTCTCAATTTCTACTGTGACTGAAGCTAAACTGAGCAACTCCACACCAGGTGGCCCTGGGCAAGGCCCAGCCGGAGTCTGTACAGCCACTCTGAGGACTGAGTACTCTCCAGAATCCAAGCTCCAGCCTGCATGTTAGAATGTGTAAGTGGAGATAATGAGTAGAAAGAGAAAGGGTCCTGTCGTTAAACATTAGTTCTTATGGTCCCAGCCCACAGCTCCATCAAATCTCACACAGACCCCTCACCCACCGTCATCTTCGCTCCTCTCCCCGGTCATCTCCACAGACTCAGAGAGCGAGGCTAGGGAAGTGCGTCTGGAGGAGGCCGCAGAGGTCACGCTGGCTGGCTTGCTCCCCGGAAGTCGGCTCACCCAGTGCTCGCACAGGGAGGAACTTGTGGAACCTGTGGGAAAGGGGGTGGGACTGAGGTGGGCCTGGCCAGTGTCCAGCCAGCGCTGCCCACCCTCATGCAGGCGCTGCCAGCTGCGCTGAGCAACTACCATCCTCGTGTTGAGGTGAGACAAAACTCCAGAGCAAACTACTGAGAAAGGATGAAGAACAAATGGCCTGGCGGCTCCTGCTGCCAGATTTATGGTAAGCAACTGACTAATGAAGCAGCATAGCTACCTCAGGTAGACCTCCAAAATGTGTCCTACCTGCGCCCCACTCAGACCTTGAAAAGCTCTGAGGAAAGGCTATACTGAGTGGACTTCACACTGCCTGCAGTCAGCAGGCAGCTGTGCAGGGTGGGGCGTGGCTCTGTTGCATGACGCTCCCTTTCTCCTCACAAGCTGTGAGAGGGATATGGGGTACCATTCCCCACCCTGGCCTGTTGACACACTACCATGTTCCTCCTCTGCCATGCTTCCTTCAAGTTCACACTCTGTGGTGGGTGGTACGCATCCCTTGTTCAGATCATGTGTGAATGCATAACAAGTCGTGTGCAGACACATGTTCCTCCACTCCTAAGACAACAGGCTAGGTCCCATCCCGTAAACCAAACCGCCTAATACTACCACAGCTATCTCCTTCCCCTGACAGAAGGGGGAAAGAACTCTTTCAAATGGCCCCTGACCCTTTTATAAAGCACTTTCCCACACTGTTACCTCATTTTAGCAACTCCCACGAGGTAGGTGCCATGATCATGGCTATATTAAATACGTGTGTGGTTCTGCTGGGACAATGCTCCAAGACAGCACCAGGAGGAGGCTCAGAGCAACATGACAGGGCTGCTATCCAGCTCGACCTCAGACACGGTGCGTGGGGTGAGCCTGGCTCTGCATGCCACTGCATGAATTCTGCTGCCCTGCAGCAGCTCTCCGAAGCTATCCTCACTTCCTTGACTGAAACCACAGTTCCCAGACTAAATAAGAATGTGAGACCGTATCTGATCCAAGTGGTCATTATGAAGACTTCTAGATATTCTGTCCTCTGGACCATCGATTACCACCTCTAGCTCTAGAAGCAACTATCAGAAACCAGAGGCAATCTTACCTGCCACCGAGCTGTTGGCTGACCATGAGGGGATGGCAGTCCGCCTCTGGTAAAAGAGGATATAGGCCGTCTGCGTGCACACTTCATCTTCTGACAGCTGTTGCACTTCGCTATCGTCAAAGCAGTACCAGAGGCCATCCACAGAGTTCTTACAGTACGCTGCCAAAAAAAAGCCCACCGTCAGCACCCACAAGGCTGCGTCAGCCACTGCATTCTGCCCTCACACCATCCTTCTCACGTAAATCATCAAGAACTTTTTTTTTTTTTGGGGGGGGGGGGGGTCGGGTCAGTCGTGGAGGCTTGAACTCTGGGCCTGGGCACTGTCCCTGAGCTCTTAGCTCAAGGCAAGCACTCTACCACTTAAGCCACAGTGCCACTTCTGGTTTTCTGGTGGTTTATTTGAGATAAGAGTCTTACAGACTTTTCCTGCCCAGGCTGGCTCTGAACCACGATCCTCAGATCTCAGCCTCCTGGGTAGCTAGGATTATAGGCGTGAGCTACTGGTGCCTGGCTACTTCAAGAACTTTTTTTTGGGGGGGGGGGGGGGGAGGGGGGGGGCGCGGTCCGGTCGTGGGGCCTGAACTCTGGGCCTGGGCGCTGTCCCTCAGCTCTTCAGGTCAAGGCTAGCACTCTACCACTTGAGCCACAGCACCACTTCCGGCTTTTTTCTTTTTGCTTATGTGGGGCTGAAGAATCGAACCCAGGGCCTCAGGCATGCAAGGCAAGCGCTCTACCACTGAGCCACCTTCCCAGCCCCACTTCAAGAACTTTTTAAGGCTACACATAGGAATGAAGGGATATTAAGGGAAAAAATCCAAATTCCATATCACATTCAAAAACAAAAAAAGTGCCAAGAAATTTCAAACTATTATAAGAACCTAAGAGTTCTAGTTCATCTTAGAAAACACAATATACTTCCACTGGGTCTCAACCAGAGACAATTTTTCCCTACAAGAGACACTTAGCAGTGAGTAGAAACATACTGATTGTCACTACTGGGGAAGGGCCTGTCCCAGCATCTAGGAGATAATAGAGGCCAGCTATGTCCACAAACACAAGCTAGTATCAGAGAATGATGTGGGAGGGGGACAAGGAGATAGAAAGTGAGAGAAGGGACCCAGATAAGGAGGCGAGACCAGACAGGTTCCCCAACAAGCAGAGATACTAAGAAAAACAACAGTGGGGAGAGTAGTCACTCTCAGCTGAGGACTTGCCAGACCAGGGAAAGGAGGGGGGAAGGAAAGAGAGAGGCCACACCTGCTTGGCCAGGGGGATCAGGCCACGCAGATACATGAAGGAGCCAGTGGGTGAAGTGACTGCTGCTCTGGAGTGCTGATGGGGGAGGAGCTATAAGGGACACACCCAAGAGAAGGGGACAGAATAACCGTGCTCTATTTGTCTGTTTCCCTTCAGTCACCATGCGCAAACAAGCCACAGAATAACTCACTAATATGCACTTCAGCTCAACTTGCTCTTCTTCCCCACCACTGTCTTTTAAAGCTTTTTCTAAGCCAGAGTCACTCAAACTGCGGTTTGGAGACCAGTGCCTTTCTACAACAGAAGCACCAAAATAGAGGTAGGCACTGGAAAATGCTCAGCGCCATCTGATCTGCTGTGGTGTCTTTATTGTATTTATACTGAAGTGTAAACTCTTGGAGAGCTGGGTGTTTGAAAACACAGATGAGTTCTTCATCCTAGAAGGCGTGAATAGCAGCTAAAATCTTCCCAACCCTGTGGTTCACCATGCATAAACCATGTTATACACAAACTAGCGCAAAATGGAGAACATGCCCAGGTAGCCCAAAGGAAAACTTAACTGCATCTTTCATCCAATAGTGCTTGACGCTTTTAAAATGGCCCGTAAACTAAGACTAACCACTTTACATAATACCAGACAAGCAGCACCATGGCTTAAGCATGGGAAAGAGGAAAATAATACCAGTGAAGCAGGCATGCTCCCTTCCAGATCACCTGTGTGGTTCCTGAGCAAAGTAAAGTTACCTGGCCAAGACCACTGAGCTGGGACGACAGGCCTGGGTTCTCACCCAAGCCCGTTTCGCTAAATTATACTAAACTCTGGGGGTGCCAAGCCTTGTCCAAAGTCTGTTCTATATAGAAAGCAGCAGGATTCCAGCACTGCCCTAGCTCCCCTGACTTCTTGCTAGAAAGCACGTAACAAACCAGTCCACACTTTCCTGATGGCTTGTCCACCAAAGCTGAGGCTGGATGAGTACTAATGAGCAACACGGGCAAAAGTGCTACTGCACAAGTTGCTGGTGAAACTAAATAAGCACTAAGTCCATTTCCAGTCTAAGAGTCCATGACTTACTATCCAACAACACAGCAATGGCTTTCAGAAAATATAAACAAAGTATGTCAAGTGCCAAATACTATATCGTAACTTCGACCATAACACCAACTGGGTACACAAGGTAGAAAGTATATTCAAGCACTCAATTTAACTTTCATCTCCTATGAAGTGAGAACATGTGAGGGAGCCTCTCTCTCTCCTATAAGTGCTTCCCCAGGCAAGCTGAGGCAATCCAAACCACTCCATTATGAGACACTCAGAGGCTGAGACAATTCCTTTCTCCAACAATCGCTGATAGCAACATTTAAATATTTAAAAGAACTGGTACTAAAAAGATTTCAAGAATATAAGATTGCATCTAGTCATCCTCCTGACCTCTCGCCCCCAAAACCCAGGAGGAAAAAAAAAAAATAGCAAGTTGAAAAAGGGTACTGGCAAAGCTGAGCAGGCTGGCAGTACTCCTTGACCTTGCTAAGGGGCAGGGAGGCTCGCAGCTCACTGCTAAGGATGTTTACCAAAAGTGGCAAAGCCCAGCCCTCCTTCATGTCTACCTCCACCTTTATGAAGCACTAATGTTAAGGAAACCACTACGCTGAGGAAGAAAAGGAAGTCCCTGAGAAGTACAAACATGAAGTATATCGAATACAAAGGACGAAGAAATCTGAGTCCTCATCACCTGCACAGATAAACCAACTTAACACACCCACCCTTACGTGAAACACATGCCCAAGCAAGAAACCCTACAACCTGCCATGTCTCCCGAGAGTCCATATGCATACCCAACAATTCCATCTCCAATGCCATTTCATCTCAATGGAAGGTAGGATTAAAACACAGAAAAGTGAATATGAACAAAGAAGCTCATTCGTACTTTGAGTTAAAACCAGAAACAATAAAGGTGTTCGGCAATGTACAGCCTGTCTAAGACAAGCAATGTCAGGCCACTTCATCACCCAAACACAGGAATGACTCCAGCATCACCAGGCAGCTAGCACCTCACCAGTTCAATGAGTGGAGCCACTACCTCTGCCAGCCCCTGAGGGAGCAAGGTGCAAGCAGCAGATTACTAATCTCAGTGGGTTCTCCTAGCCCTCAGCACACCCAGCCACATACTCCTCTGGTACCTACCTCCCCTACCTCACTACTACTTTCCTACATTTTATTTGTATCTATGTCTCCCCCTTATTTGATTACATCCTGGAAACTAGAGGCTAGATCTATTTGCCTCTGATGTGGCAGAGTCCACGGCAAGCTAACTATAAGGTGCCTAATAAATGTTCACTTGGAACAGAATACACTAGAATCATCATAATAGTAGAAAATAACAGCCAAGAAGTTAGGGGAAAACACTGGACATTTATCAAACTTTTACAAACATATGACAAGACCTTGTCTGGCCTTCAAAAGGAAATTCTGATGCATGCTATAACACAGACAGCCCTTAACACATTACACTGAACAGAATAAGCCAGCCACAAAAGAATAAACATGGTGGGATTCCAGTGATCAGAGGTACCTAGAAGCGTCAAATCCACAGAGACAGAAAATGGCACAGAGTTACTGCTTGGGAAGATGAGAGAAATTCTGGAGATGAATTGTGGTGGTGACTGACAATGTCACCAAATTATAAACTTCAATGTGACCAAAATGGTAACAATTTTGGTGGCATGTGTCCTATCACAAGGGTTTAGGATATGAGCTGTGGTTATTTTGAGTAACAAGCCCACTCTGGCATTCATCATTCTCTTTTCCCTCACTCCCTATAGTCTATAAGCTTCTTAAGAAACTAGAGTTGCTTTTACAAGTGGAAAACTAAATGAAGTGAAACAAGTGAAAACAAAACCAAATCAGCACTATAAAAGTGGTTCACAATCATCTGGATTAAAGAGATGCCAAAACCCTCAAGCAACCAGAGAGCAAAGCCTCAAGTGAGCAGCCTGCTGGGAAACACAGAGCATCCTCAGGGAGCAGAACACGCTGTCTGTGCACACGTTCTCATATGGGGAGAAGCAGGAAGACTTGCCAGCACAGGCACTGGAGAGAAAGAAGCTTCAAAGCCAGGTGCCCCCCGCCCCCCCCACCACCACAAAGCAGACAGCCTGAAGGGAGCAGCGCATAAACACGCAGCCTCTTGAATTGCAGACCTGTGTAGTGCCCCCCTTGCATGGTGCCATGGTGGTTGCACACAGCATACAGGTCATAGATGGAGTCCTCAGGGTCCCTCCCGAGTCCATAGGGCCGTCTCCACGGGGACCAATGGGATGGCAAGCTCCAGCTGCTCTGGCTTCTCTTAACCACATGAGGTGTCATGTCCAGGCCAGTCAAGGGGAACTTGACCATGTTCTGAAGTTTCATACGCCTGTCTCCTTCCTGTTGCAAGAAGAAAAACAAGTTCTGATGACATTTTAATGTAAGCAGATGGCAGATGAGTTTACGTGTGGAATGTGGACGCTATCAGCTAAAGCAGTTTGAGACACTTATCTGATGTTTCCCAAGACAAATCAAACAGGGAAAGAAACGAAGTTTCAACTGGCCGAAGGAACAAGTTTCAGCACAAAACTTTAGGAACCAGAAAGGATCTACAAATAGGGGATAAATAAGCCCATCTGCATTTTCCATTTCCTTATCATTAAAGGTTTTTGGGATTAAAGATAATTCCAGGTGGCTCATCGTGACACCTCTGTCAACAAGGCAGGAGAACGACAGAGTGACAGCTGCATCAAAGGCAAACCCCAGCACCCAGCACACAAGAGTCAGGCAGCTCCTCCCTGCACAAGTTCATTAGAAGTTCTCACGGACAGGCTGGGCAGCGGTGCTGGCTCATACCTGGAACTCTAGGCACTCAGGAGGCTGAGATCCAGAAGATCCTGGTTTGAAGCCAGCTGGGCAGAAAAGTCCACAAGATCCCACCACCAAAATAACCAGCAAAAAGCCAGGATGTGTGGCTCAAGTGTTAAAGTGCCAGCTGAGCAAACCAAGCCACACAAACACAAGACCCTGAGTTCAAATCCCCAATAACAGTGCAAAAACAAAGGTTCACAATGATTCAGCTGATACAGTCACTGAGCTAGCAACCTGGGCAATCTGTAATTTCCATGAAGCCCAGAGGAGAATCTCTTGAAAGCCAAACATTAGTTGAATAGATATGACTGCATATTCCTGTGTTCACAGGACATTTACAACAATAAATCAGAGATGTGCCACCCAAAAGAGTATTCAGGAGAGGAAGGCACAACTGGCCCTCAACAGGCTCACTCAGGAGCCAAGGGGTACACTGAGGCTTTCAGCCGACTCATGGCTGCAGTGCATAAAATATGTTAGGGGAGGACTCAGTCACAGAGGCTAAGAAATCCAGCAGAAGATGTCAAGTAAGAAGGAGGAAGAGGGGCTGGGAAGGTGGCTCAGTGGTAGAGTGCTTGCCTTGCATGCATGAGGCCCTGGGTTCGATTGCTCAGCACCACATAAGCAGAAAAAGCCAGAAGTGGTGCTGTGGCTCAAGTAGTAGAGTGCTAGCCTTGAGCTGAAGAGCTGAGGGACAGCACCCAGGCCCAGAGTTCAGGCCCCACAACTGGACCCAAAAAAAAAAAAAGGAGGAAGAGAGACAGAAGGAAAAGAGACACACAGGAGTCAACAGAAAGGCTCAGCCAGGCTGCAGAAGGGCCTGCCCCCAGAACAGCAATGGAGAGAAGTCACAGACGCACTGCAGCTTTGAGTTTGGGGCTCTGGAAGGAGATGACGGATCATCAGAAGAAACAGCAAGTATAAGGAACCGGTCTGTGTAAGAGGAAAGAAACCCAAATGGCTGGCATTTGAACCCTCAGCCGGCTGTCCACCTGCAAAGCCCAGCAGAGCAAATGCCCAAGTGTCACTCTGTGGGCCACCTCTGCTGCCTCCTCCCAAGCCATTCCCATCCATCTATCCATCGCCACGACAGAGATATGGCCCAAGCCATCAGCAGTCCTCTCCAGATGCACGAAGGCTCCTCCAACTCTCCCTCTAGCTTCTTCTGCTCTGTATGTAGCCATCAGAAATATCTTTCTAAGATCCCGACATGGCAGTGCTGTGTCACTGCTAAAGTGCCCCCACAGAATCCTACACACCCAGAGTCTGCCTGGACCACCACCCTCCACCACCCCTCTCTCTCCAATGTGCCACCTGAGTGCAGTCCCGCTGGCTTGTTTGTAGTCCAGGCAAGGCCCTTATCTACACTGTCCACTCCACGACTGTGTGTGCACCTGGCTTCCATCTTCCCTAGAAACACTTGTATCTTTCACACACAAACCTTCTTACACAGCCAGGCCACAGGAACTCCATGAATGCCTAACACAAACCCTCAAGCATGAAGTAATAAAACATCTGCAGTATGAACTGCAACATTCAGGATGTAAAGGGTGAGAACACAACATGGCCCCAGGTGGAGACACCTGTGTCTGCACATATCTAGCCGGGTCCAACAGTGATGGGAAGGAAGCCAAGGGAAGCGGGGATGGCGGGAGCCAGGACAGCACATGTTCTTACCTGGCGAAACCTCTTGAGGTGGATGATGAGGACGTCGGGCAGCGTCCACAGGCTCAGCGTGATGCTCCCCTGCTGCAGCTGTTTACAGTGCGGACAGCGCCAGGCATCGTCCGGGGCAAGCTGGAAGCAAGCAATGAAGCTGGGGTTAGGTTCCACTTAACAGACGGGAGACTGTCACAGCAACAATGTCCTCCACTCAGTCCCTCTGGGCTGCACAAGGAGAGCAATGCAACATCACCACAACAGGCCCTGGCCAGCATCAGCACCTGATACCTGCTGACCAGACGTCCCACAAAGAGAACAACTACCAAGGAGAATGTTAGATGTCACACAAGTACCCCCAAGCCTAGCACACCCCCACACCCGACTCAGCATCTTCCAACCAACATGAACCCTTCTTTTAAACACCTGTATGTCCTCTTGCAGCAAACCCAACCGCTGCCCTCTAAAGGTGAAAACATGGGGTTACCCAAACCCTCAAATCCTTCTAGCTTCGTCTCACTCCACATCCACCCAAATTCTCTCCCTGCCAATTCTCAGCCTGTCTGCTCTCCTCCATACCATCCCCACTGCACATCTGTCACCTCATGACGACCTCTCCCTCCTGCTGTCAGATCCATTTGTCATCTCTTCAAGATGGTGGTACACTACTTCAAGGTATGAACCTGTGAGATTCGTACATTCCTCCATGTTCAGAAGCTACATCAGATGTAAGGAGGAAAGGAAAGCCCTGTGATAGAAGACATTCCCATCGGGAAAGAAGAGAAAGGAGCCAAGGACAGAATCTTGGACAAAGTTTATGGTCATTTCACTAAAAGGGACCAAGGAGTGTTTTCCTGATAAGGGGACCCAGTGTGTAGGGGGAGAGGGAAGCACGAAATCAGACTAGAAGGGGATCAAACTATCACTGGCAAGCTCATGTCTCTGTGTGATGTATTAATGTTTCCCAACCACCCTGGTGCTTGTAGTAAAGGCATGTTTCTGTTTGTTTAAACACCAATGTATTTTAAAGACACAGTAGGAGTGTTGCAAGTGTCTCTTTGCTTTGCTTTCTATTCTGACCTGTACAGTTACTGAAAATGCCTAGGCTGAAAAGCAGTCCACACTCCAAGCCTCCCTTGGTCTGGTTGCCCCTACCTGGCAATAAAGGGCCCAGAGATCAGCAGTCTGCTATGGAGGTGTTCCTCATATGAATACAAGATCACTCATTCCCAGTCTTTATCCTGTGCTTTTCATATAAAGTAAAGGCCAACCCCTTATCCACACAAATCTTCCATGAGCCTGAAAGACATCAGATTCTTTACAGGCTTCCTCAGTCACAATACACTTGCCAAGGTCATGACTCCCAGGCACAATCCATTTCCTCTGCTCTATCTGGCTCTGTCCCCGTTTGCCATCCTAACCTGACCACAGAAAGCCATGAAAACAGGGTGTGTTTCTAAAGCTTCCATCAGCCAGCATGACAGTGTCTCATGCCTTTGTGGCCCTGCTGACCAAAACACTGAGCTTGCAGATAGCTAGACCCAGAGCCCAACCGCACAGCTCATTGCTAAAGCCACACGCACCTCTTGGAACTCCTACTGCTGTTTTTGGCCCAATGCTCATGAACTTCCCACAGACTGCTCACATAGTCCAGCACACAGTTACTGCACACTTTCCAGGGTGCCAAGTACTGTTCAAGAACCTACGATATCTACTGAGATAGTGAATGAGCCAGCCACACTGGTCTTATTTCTGTTTTTCAGCTATGCCAGGCTTCATCCTACCCCAAGACCTTCTTCTCCTCTTCATTAACCTTTCATGGTCTGTGAGCCATTCATGGACAGAAGTATTGTCTTATCATTACTCCTGTGTATTCTAGTGTACCAGGGACTACCTGGCACACAGTAGGTACTCTGTGTTGACTCCTGTGTATCCCAATACATCATTCATTACCCAGCACACAATAAGTACATTTGTCTGTCTTGACTCTAAGTCTAACACAGAGTAGGCATGGTGTCTGTCTTGATCCCTGTGTATCCCAGTGCACTGGCTACTCAGGTAGTAGCACATAGTAGGTATTTGTTAAACATCTAAATGTTTAAGCCACCATTGAAATCCATCTTTCTAGCATGAACTAATTACTGTAGGCTGTGAGAGATCTTCCATGGATACCAATGGTGTCCAGTAGATCTGCTCCCTCTTGAGCTCGATGGCATTCTCAAACATCTATCAGGTCAATTTTTTTATAAGAGCTAAAAGGGACAGGATATATGCATGCCACAGTCTGCAATCAGCCAGTTTCAAAGCCAACTATTTTAGCCCAGAACTGAACAGGAATTAAAAAAATAAAATTAAGAAAAAGTATTGTTAAGCCGGGGGCTAGTGGCTCACACCAATAATCCTAGCTACTCAGGAGGCTGATTTCTGAGGATTGCTGTTCAAAGCCAGCCTGGGCAAGAAAGTCTGTGAGAGGGGCTGGGAAGTTGGCTCAGTGGTAGAGCGCTCGCCTTGCATGCATGAGGCCCTGGGTTCAATTCCTCAGCACCACAAAAGCAAAAAGAAAAAACCCGGAAGTAGCACTGTGACTCAAATGGTAGAGCGCTAGCCTTGAGCTGAAGAGCTGAGGGACAGTGCCCAGGCCCAGAGTTCAGGCCCCACGACCGAACCCAAAAGAAAAAAAAAAAGAAAGTCTGTGAGACGTTTATCTCCACTAAACCACCAGAAAACCAGAAGTGGCACTGTGGCTCAAATGGTAGAGCACTTGCCTTGAGCTGAAGAGCTGAGCGACAGCGCCCAGGCCCAGAGTTCAAGCCCTATGTCTAACATAAAGAGAGAAAGAGAAAGAGAAAAAGGGAGGGAGGGAGGGAGGGAGGGAGGGAGGGAGGGAGGGAGGGAGGGAGGGAGGGAGGGAGGAAGGAAGGAAGGAAGGAAGGAAGGAAGGAAGGAAGGAAGGAAGGAAGGAAGGAAGGAAGGAAGGTAGGAAGGAAGGAAGGGTATTGTTAAAGGAACTAGCTGGCAACAGCTTTAGGGAGAAAACTCAGTGAGAATACAGAAACCCTTTACAAGTATTGCAAGATGTGTGCTTTTGTTAGAGTACTAGATCCAAGTTCAAGTTATAGGGGCAGAGTGAGGAAGGTGGGGAAGCAAGGGGGAATGATAGCTGACACCTGTATTCTTAGTACAAAAGTGCTAGGTTCAGAAGCATTGTTTTCATTACTAAAGAAAATAAAATTTCTAACCTTAAGCAAATTAACAAAAACAAATACTACTCATGACTAGCTAATAGAAAAATGCAGAATTTACAAGTTTAGCTTCTAGAGTACTATACTTCATCAGAAGTTTGAAGTACTTCTGGTTGAAGTCCTAAAAGGAACCACATTGGCTATAGCATATGCAAAGATGCCACTCCTGCGCACTGTCTGGGGCAGAATCGCTGGCTCTGGTCATCATCCAGCCTCGCACGGTGTGGGTGGGGTGTTTGCCCGTACTCTCGCCTCTCACCCGCTCCTCTTTGGTGTAGAGCTGGAAACACTGGGATAAAGTGCAGGTCTGAGGCTGCTGGTGGTGCTCCCTCTGCAGACGGACGCTCTCCGCGTCAGGGATATACTCATCTTCTGTGTTTATGAACAAGCTGCAAACAGCGGGAGCAGTTAACAGAGAGCATCTTGCAAAACAGACAAAAAAAAATATAACTGTAGCTATACAAAGTGGCTATGACCTCATAACAAAAAAGGTCAATGTGGAAGACAGCCATCCAGCTTCCATGTACCATAATATTCTGGAAAAGCTCTCCATTTGCAATGCTATTTTATAAACTTGGTAGTTGGTTTTTCTGGCAATGTCTATGAACTGTACTGGATTAAATCATATGTTTCTTGTCCTTTGTATCTTAGAGCATATGTTCGACATAGCTTACTAAAATTGATGGGCCTGTAACAAAACTGAAGTAATACTTAATGAATTCAGCTTCCCTCTCAGCAGAAAATAAGTGTTGTAAGGTTCTAGGACTAGGAAGAATGTGTAGGAAAAGCAATAATAAACCTCTTAATGAATTAACAACAGATTTAGATACTTAGCTAAAAATAAGACAGACTTGTTAAAGAAAAAAAGAGCTATGTTTCAGCAAATTTGACAGCTCAAAGGTGCATAGCCAAAATGATCATAAAACAATGAATCTGAATACTAAGTATTCATATACATATATATATAATATAAATATAGATATACTCACAAATCTTTTGTCTCCTTGTCCCATTCTACTACTAACTTCACATGAGCTGTGCCGCCTGGTCCACAAGACTTTAATGCCCTACAGAAACAGGAGGAAAAGTCACATATTATTTTCTAAAAGCAAGTTTTTACTGAAATGTGAATATGTTCTCTAACTGGAATCAGGTGATTGTGGAAAATCTTCTATTCCTCATCAGAACAAGTTCATAGATGATAACTTCAGATTTAATACCTAGTTAACAAGTAAACTGAAAAAATACATAAATTAAAAGGTACAGTATGCAAATGAAGAGACAAAAGAAAATTCAGTATGGTAGTGTAAGGCATCTAGTCACTGGCATATTCTCTATCACCTTTCCAACTTTTCTCAGTTTCTCCCCAACCTAAAGACAGAGTCAAGATTCTGGTCAATCATCTGCCCTCACATCCCTCCCCTGACACATGCCTAGTTGCTTGTGCCCATGCCAAACACTCCATGCCCTCCTCCTCCTGCATGCTTCACAAGGCTACGCCATCTGATGACTAGTCCTCACCATTTGCTGGAAAACTAAGCACGCACACAGCTCATTTTTATCATCTCATCATTTTTTTATGCCATGCAGTATTTTGGATTATTTCCTCATCTATTAACTTTCATGTCTAAACCCAAATAGGGAGCTTTGAAACAAAACTATGTCAGTCCTGAAATGTAGGCAGGCACCAATGTCTGTTGGGGAAAACCTCTGTAAGAAGACCAATGTGAGTTTTCATACTTCCCCATGCACCTACGTGTACACGAATCACATGCATACACCCTCTATCACCTTATATCAGACTAGTGTGAACATCATGGAAGTGTATAGGAGGCACAGATGCAGCAGAGTGTGGGGAAGAGGGGTTCCTGGCAGAGGTAGGTGCACAGGTACATGGTTAAAGCTGTCACATACGCAAACAACCATGAGTTCTGATGTGAGGCAGGCTTAGGGCAGGGGGGAGAGGAAAGCAAGGTTGGCCAGAGAGAAGCATGGAGTTACAGAGGACACTTTCCTCTGCTGTGGAACTTGTGCTTTGCCTTTGAGGCCACCAGACACCAAGTAAGGGTTTCAAGGAGGATGGAGGCCTGATAGAATGCTACTCCGCAAACTTTCCATCATGGTGACTATGACAGCATAATTTATCTGTAGATCTATTACATACATGATTTTCCTAATGTGAGTAAACTGTGGCTTTTCTGATTTCAAGAAAAATCATTAAACACTTCCCACTCAATATGAACCAAAACTGAAGTATTTAATGTGCAAATGAACTTACAGAAACAAATACCATTACATAGGAAAAACAGCAGATATCACTCTTGATTAAATACATGTGCAAAGTCCATAAGTAGTTCTGGTTTGCCTCACTGCTTACCTTTCAACTGTTGGGTGGCACAGGGGCTGCTCTTCCTGGGGCAGCAAGTACGTTATGCCCACAACACTGACCACACGCAAACTGAATGGACACACCTGCAACAAGCATCCAATGAGAATTAGGCTGGGTTCCTCACCAAGGGCATTTCCAAACAGACCAAAAGTGGCAAATGGCTCATGCTCAAAATGTTCCTCTTCAATGTTCTGCTATATGGCTGAGTCACTCTGTAATAACCACATATGATCGCTCAAATTCAATTACATATCAAATGTTATGTAGATCTAAAAATATATTGCTTTACTGAATATTCACATGATATAGTCTTCTGTGGACACCTAAACCCAGTAATAATATGTATAAAACACCAACATAGAGATTCGAAAACTTCTCCAAGTTGATTCTGTACCAAACACTATTAAATAAACACTATAAAAGATTATATAGCCCTTAAGGAAACCTTATGGTGGTCAGCTCCTTCCATAAAAGGAGGGATATTTGAGAATTTGAACCAAATAGATTTCTCACAGTGAGTATTTCTTCACTGGGGTGCTTGCATGCTCTATTGGAATATCAGCACACTACAAACCTGAATGCAAACTGAGGGCCTCAAGAAATACTTCATCTTCTCCAGGATTTCCTTCTGCAAAAGGTCCCATGCCACTGTCTTCTCCAAGTGCAGGACGAAAGGCAGTCCAAACCTACCACACACCAACACACAGTCATTACCTTCCAAGAATTCAAGCCCTTCAAGGCTGTCATGTCACATTCAATGGAATCACACTATGACTGGTTTTAGGGCAGTCTCTAAACAGGAAGACCACAACAGCTAGACTTCTAAACAAAACCATGTAGCTCCTACCCCCAGGGCCTGGAGAGGAGCAGGTGCTAGACAGCAAGCGCAGGGTCAGCAGAGCCAGCAAGAGGGTGGCATGTGCAGGGGGCTGACACAGAAGATACCAGGTAAGGCTGGACGTGGTTGGAGGCCCCACAGGCTGGTAGACATACAAGGGAGGCACTAGCAAACAAGTGACTGAGAGCTGCTCTAGAACTAAAGCTCTCTCTGGGGTTCCCATGTCCCAGAGCCTCAGAGGCAGTTGTGAGGTGTTCAGCTTCTGTTGCACATTATCATTTACACAGGAGCACTGAAAACTGATGCCCAAATCCAGCCTCAAAGGTTCTGATGAAATCAGTGTGGAATGTAGCCCAGCACCGAGACCTCTCAGGAGCTAGCCAGTGATCTAACCTACAGATGAAGGCAAGGACCACTGGCCTGGCCTCCACTTCCATCCATGCTTGCATTACTGAAACCAGCATGCTGATCCTCAATGTCTTCCTCCCCCACCCAGGTTCCAGGCAGGCTGATGCCACCTGCCTTCCTCCTGGCTCTGTATTGCAGTGATGGTCCCTTCTCCATTGGAGAAGGGATCATCAGTCATCCTGTGAACTACAGTACCAATGACCCCAGGTGGATAATCTGCCTTACCACTCACATGCTACATGAGAATAAAACTGCCATCTGTTTACCCTGGTAGCCCAGTCAGCCCTTGTGTAGAAAACAGCAGATGCTCAATGAATGCATGCATGATCTAGCAGACGAGCTGACTCAGGCCCAGGCTGAAACAGAGGCATGAGAACACCAAGAAACCTGCTCCTAAAAGCACCTAGCTCTTCACTCAGAAGAACTTTACCTCCTGAAAACCTGGGTGATATGAAGTGAATTCCATGTACCCGACCATACATTCATAAGACATTAACTCTAAAGAGACTTGTGCCATAACAGCAATTCCACAGGTCTCCTTCACTTCATGTGGGACAGCAAGCTGCCTGCCATGTGCCTTAACCATGCCAAGCTCCTTCGGCCTCAGTGTCTAAGCTGTGTTTCCCAGATGTTCATGTGGCTCACTCCTTTTCACAGGACTGCCTGCGTTGGCTGTAGCCTCCAGCCTCCCTCTGGGAGGAAGCCTTTCCAACCTCCTCCATTGCAACCTCCTCCAGTACAGACCCACAGCCTCTCCTCATTCACACCCTACCTGTCTGGTCTGTGTTGATACTGTCAACACAGTAAGTGAGGTATGCTCACTTGTCCAAGGTCAGCCTGTCCTGACTAGGAGGCTGGCCATCTAGAGCAAGGCCCTAGCTATCTTCCTCGCTGCTCTATCACCTGTGCTCAGAACAGTGCCTGGTAACAATTTTGTTCATAAATACCATAAATAATCACATCAACAATTTTACAATTACATTACTGACCACCCAAGGGACTTATCTCGAAAATTTAGAAAGCTCACTTTTATACAGACTATCCTTCCTGACAAATATTAGAAAATGATATCCTTTCTCCCTGAAATAACACAGGTGACACTACTGTGATAAAAATTACTTTGCAAAATAGTCTGAGCTCCATGCTGGTGGCTCACACCTAGCTGCTTAAGAGGCCCAGATCTGAGGATTGTGGTTCGAAGCTAGCCCAAACAGGAAAGGTCCTGAGACTCTTTATCTCTAATTAATCACAGAAAAGGCCAGAGCGGCACTCCAGCTCAAGTGGTATACCACTAACCTTGAACAAAAGGAGCTCAGGGATGGCGCCCAGGCTAAGTTCAAGCCCCAGAACAGGCAAAAAAAAAAAAACAAAACGGTAAGTCTGAAATGCCAATAAATTCTCAGGGAAGGCAACTGGGAGACTGGAGAGATTTCTGAATAGTGGTGTCAAGGGCCAAGACAGGAAACCTAGAGGGCCCGTTTCACAGGAGAAGAAAGAGAGTCCAGCCTGGGGCATGACACTGAGAAGTGTACCATCCAAGTAGATATGTTAAGAACTGGAGAGGGGTGAGAAGATAGTGGGGTTTGAACTTGGGGCCTTATGGCTGCTAGCCTGGCACTCTACCACTCTAGCTACAGCTACAGCCCAAGAATTGTTTTTTGAGCTGTTAAGAAAGTAACTCATTCAAGTTTAAATAGTTAAGGCCTCAAGAGTGCTTTAACTAAATCAGACATGAGATTAGCCTTCAAAAGTACAAAAGCTTTAATAGCCACTTCTGACTCAGATTCTCAGTCCACTTATGTGGAGGACTCATTCATAGGTTCCTCTAAGTCTCAGAATCAAAAATTAACTATTACTAGGCAGTAGGTGAAGGCAAGAGGATCAGAAGTTCAAGGTCAGCCTCAGCTATATGAGACCCTGCCTTCAATACATAAATTCAGCTAGGAAAAGTACGTATTTTCACCCCTGTGTCTTGGAGCAACTGGGAAACAGGCTAGTTCTCACCTCTTCCCTTGCTGTCCCGTGCACACTCGGTTGCACACCAGCAGGACAATCTTGTCACCTCCTGTTCGGGAGCTGGGCAAGTCCATCCTCCCCTGCTTGGCTGCTGCTTGTAGTGGGGAAGATAATCTATGATGATCCAGGCCAAATTTCAAGTGGTTTAGATTATTGTTTAAGTGAATGCCTGGAAAAGATTAAAAACAACTCACATTATCTCCTTGAAATTCCTTTCATTCATTCATTACAAAGAAACTGACCTAATGGAAAAAATAAGAAATTGTCATTATATAAACTACAATCAAAAATAGGCACAAATACTCCAGCATGAGACTGATTACTCATCAAGCTAGTAAGACAGGTTACAGCATCCATTATTTCCTTCAAATTAGTCTCACCTATCTCACACCTGAAAACCAAAAATCTCTACTTCAATAAACATTAGGCAAGTTTTAGAAGGGTAAGTTATGGAGTTGATCTGCAATAGAGTTTAAAGTAAGACCCAGTAGTAGCCCATGAAATGGATTTTAAAAAGAAACAATAAAAACAAGAATATCTGGAATGATCTACAGTGTTCCAAGAGCAGGTTTTTGTCCCTGAAACAAAAGATAAAACTCCCCTTCCTAGACAAAGCCATTATGAGAACATGACTAGCCAAATGGACCAACCCACATTGAAGTGAACAAGACCCAAGTTTCATAGGCAGAGACTGGACTTCAGAGTCTCCTATAGTCAATCACATTACTCAATCAGCACACAGCACAGGGCAGGCAACTAGTCAATGCCTGACTGAATATCCATTTACGTTTTTTATCTTCTGGAAGGAGGCAGCTAATGAAATAATACTCCAGCTGAAGGACAAAAGAAGCCCCTTTCTATCAATATCATAATAACTCCAAAAAAGAGACTAAAGTAAAAATGGCTTCCAAAAAAGTATACATTAGCAGAGTTCTATGAATAAATAAGTAACATAAAAATCAAGCAACATATGATTTGTTATTAATATATATCAACACAACCCAGCACTGGTGGCTCACAACCATAATCCTACCTACTAGAAAGCTAAGATCTAAGAATTGTGGTTTGAAGTCAGCCCAGACAGAAAAGTCCCTGAGACTCTTTTTTTTCCTTTTTTTTTTGGTTGGTCCTGGGGCTTGAACTTTAGGCTTGGGCGCTGACCCTCAGCTCTTTAGCTCAAGGTGAGTGCTCTACCGCTTAAGCTACAGTGCCACTTCCAGTTTTCTAGTGGTTTATTGGAGGCTGGCTTTGAACCATGATCCTCAGAGCTCAGCCTCCTGAGTAGCTAGGATTACAGGTGTGAGCTACCAGCGCCCGGCTTCCCTGAACCTCTTCTCTCAAGTAACCACCAAAAAGCCCAAAGTGTAGCTGTGGGTCAACTGGTAGAATGCTAGCCTGGAGCAAAACACAAAAAAAGCTCAAGGCATAGCACTCAGGCCCTGAGTTCAAGCCCCAGGACCAGCACATGCACATACAGGCACACACACATATGCACACACATGCACATGTAGCTACAAAAAAGCGCAGATAAGGAGAGACAGATAGCACCTTTATGCAATATCAAAATGTGTGAAAATTATACAATGAACAGTTGAAGGGTCAGATGTTCAATACAGAGGAGTCAGGTTTGGAGTCCAAAAAGATCACCACTGGCTACAAGAGAAATAGGGATTTGACTGGACACAAGAAAACTGACAGACATAAGGAAATGAAAATGGAAAAGACAGCAGTATGTACCTTTACTATAATCCTGAAAAAGAACTGCACTGTCACAGAATACTTGAAGGGATAAACAGTGGTCAGCTCTGCACACTCGGGTGCATTATGGAAACAAGTGTGCCTTTACCTCTTTGACTGAGAATTCCTTCAGGCCTAAATATTTCTGGAGTCTCAAAGGCAAAAATGCAGTCACTTTCATGGACAGTCTCCAGGTCGTCTGTATCACAAAAGGAACGATGGAACCCATCATAGTACATTTCTGTTAACACAATCTAGAAAAACGGGGAAAATGTCAACAGTTGCATAAAACTGGAGCTTCGACATGCAATGATCTCCCAATTGTACCATGAAACTTCTCAGGAGTTGGTAGTGCTCTCAGAGTGCTATGAAATGATTATACTTGCCTTTAGTGAGAGAATCTTAGGACAATATCTGGCCTAATTCTGTAACTTACTACACTCTGATTTCAGAACTCCACAGCACTAAATGCATAACTGCTTTAAGCTGGAATAAAAAACAGAGCAAGAAGCAGCACCTAACCCCCTTGCCTTTACAGCAGGGAGAGAAAGAAAGTCTCAAGACTCACACTATTCAGGCCCCATGGAGAGAGGAGAATCCACATCTGACGTTCTTTATATATCATTACATTTTCCTCTTCTCAAGTTAAAAATGCCAAACAAATATGGACATCCATATTAGAGAAAAAAATGAAATCAAGTCATATGACCAGCAATAAGAATAATTAGTACACTAAAGACCTACTAATACTATGAAACTCTTAAAGAGAATGAGCTAGATATATTTGCACTAGCAAGAGGCAATCGAAGTAAACACCCATGAAGGTAAAGAACAATCTAAACAAGTAATTCCACCTTTAGAAACTAATGGTAGTTACTACTAAGCTAACTAGTATTTTCACAGAGGAAAATCTGAATGAACACTAGTGTTAAAGCTTGCAGTCCTGAGTACTGAGTGCCTTTCCCTTTCCTGGCTGTACATGTGAAATGGGAACAATGACTTCTAGGCACTTTACAGATTGCAGAGAAAGCGGAGCTGGGGCAGAACACTGCAGACATCTAGAGCCTCATTTCCCACCCAGCAGCAGTGACCAGGGGAAAAGCACTGTGATAGATAAGGAGGTTCCCAGTCGTGGTCAGCCACCAACCAGCCCTGCAGCCCTGAACCAGGCACATGGCTTCTATGGGCCTCCTTCAACAATAAGGAGGGGAAGACTGTCCTGCACTTCTAAGGTTCCCCACCAGTACTAGCATTCTGGAAGACTATGAGCTGAAAAGGGCTGGTGACATAGACGAGGAAAAATGTTCCAGGAAAATGTTCCCTTCTAATTAATTTAATGGCTATGATCTTTTTCTGCTGGTAAACTTGCAAGTACAATTCATTGTCCAGCAAACTGAGGTCAAAAGCAAAGCTATACTTATTCCACCCATTTAAAGCCAGCAGCAAAACTTTAGACATATATCTTATCTGTCTTGGACATTACCACAGCCTGCCTCCTCTATCTTGCCTCATCCTGGAGGGAAGAGGAGTCAAGGGGCTCTTCAGAGCAGGAAGAATGTGAACACTATCAATGTGCCAGTACCTGGCCTGTGAAAACATGACAGATTTGCTGTATTAGGGTAACACTGCTGACCGTATTTGTTTTACCTTCCCAAATTGAGGTCATAGGAGGCCAAAGTACAAAACACCTTTATCATGCAATCATGCAAGTGTACATAGTAGCTTCCAGAAGCTATATAGGGAAAAACTATTTAGGCTCTAAGTTATCTTTTACTTGGTAAATCCAAAATAAGAAATGTCTTTCCCCAAGTGGCTCATGCCTATAATCCTAGCTATTCAGAAGGCTGAAATCTTAAGGATCATGGTTCAAATCTAGCCTGTAGAGGAAAGTCCATGAGATTCTTATCTCCAAATAATTACCAAAAAAGCTGAAGTGGAGCTATGGCTCAAATGGTAGAGCATTAACCTTGAGCACAAAAGCTCAAGGAAAGTGCCCAGACCCTGTATCAGGCCCTGAGTTCAAGCCTCAGGACTGGACTGGAAAAAAAGAAAAAGAAAAAGGAAAAGGAAAAGGAAAAGGAAAAGGGAAGGAAGGAAGGAAGGAAGGAAGGAAGGAAGGAAGGAAGGAAGGAAGGAAGGAAGGAAGGAAGGAAGGAAGGAAGGAAGGAAGGAAGGAAGGAAAAAGAAAGAAAGGAAGGAAGGAAGGAAGGAAGGAAGGAAGGAAGGAAGGAAGGAAGGAAGGAAGGAAGGAAGGAAGGAAGGAAGGAAGGAAGGTCTTTCAGATAAAAATCATAATAGTGTGGGAGCTGGGAAGGTGGCTCAGTGGTAGAGCGCTTGCCTTGCATGCATGAGGCCCTGGGTTCGATTCCTCAGCACCACATAAGCAAAAAGAAAAAAGCCGGAAGTGGCACTATGGCTCAAGTGGTAGAGCGCTAGCCTTGAGCTGAAGAGCTGAGGGACGGCGCCCAGGCCCAGAGTTCAGGCCCCATGCAGACCAAAAAAATAATAATAATAATAAAAATCATAATAGTGTATTGAGTAAGAACTGTATATAATAATGTCGTCATAAACATGACAAAAGTATTTTGAATTTAAATATAAACCACTTACCAAAAGTGCCCCATCTCTAACAAAGAAGGGAGATACAACTTTCCCTTATTTAAACAAGATCAGAGACGCTGGTCTAGTTCCTCTAAGACATGGAACAGGGTATAGCCCAGTGGTAGAGCACTTACACAACATGCAGCAGGTCCTGGGTTCAACCCAAGCACCACAGATGGACATGCACTGCACACAGAACTGGCAAGATGTCCACTGCCAATACTGCAATGGAAAAGAGGCTTTACAGTCACTGCTTCCTAAGCCTCTCTATCAATCACCACAGGATGCTCCTTCCATTGGCCATAGACTCATCCTCAGAAGTGACTTGCAAAGGGTTCAGTCATCATACACTGAGAAAAGCTCCAAGGTCTCCATGTAAGGCCACAGCTTTTCCTTCCTCAAACATATCTCCATGTCTTGAGATGACAGCTGGCCCACTCTACAGTAACTGCTCACCCTGAAAACTCAGACCAGAGTTTAAAGGTTGTTTAAAAAAACTTGTGCTAGGGCTGGGAAGGTGGTTCAGTGGTAGAGCACTTGCCTTGCATGCCTGAGGCCCAGGGTTCAATTCCTCAGAACCACATAAGCAAAAAGAAAAAAGCCGGAAGTGGTGCTGTGGCTCAAGTGGTAGAGTGCTAGCCTTGAGCTCAAGAGCTGAGGGACAGTGCCCAGGCCCAGAGTTCAGGCCCCATGACCGGACCCAAAGCAAAACCAAACAACAACAATAACAAAAAAAACCTGTGCTCAAGTTACTGGGTATGTTTGTGTCTGTGTGTATAGACAATGAAAGGAAACATAAAAAATCTTTTCTACATATTTTACTCTCTTGGGTCTTGATTTTTTTTTTTTACCCTCAACACTAAATGCAAATGGTTTTCAATCTCAAATATATTTGGCAGAGATTTGTAAGAAATCCCAGAAAATCAGAAAGTAGCACTTCTGAAGCTTGAGTGAAGCTGTCTCAGCAGGGTAATTACCTGATCAGTGGGGATCTTTGTCTCCACAGATACTGCTTCCCGAAGTCTAGCGACAGTCCCAGACAGAGGTACAGCCACACCAATCCTCATGCAGTGGGAGCATTTCCCTTGATACACTACGGTGACATAGAGAGGCCTGTACAGATCAAATCAGATCTTCTCATTAGTCACTAAAATATACAAGAAGTGAAACAAATCTGACCTGAAACCCACACAAACACCTAAGCTAACCAATACCTTTATTTGGAAGACATGGAAACATTCACTTGGATTTGAGAACTATCCAACAGTAATCAAGAGATCTTTAGAAAAGGAAATCTTCATAAAACAAAAATCTAACATAGTCATAGTTCTGTCCTGTAAATGTTCCTTAAAACAGCCTAATTCATGGAAATTTTGAGAAACAATAGAAATAAATCAACTAGAAGTACCACGTAAAGTCTCTATCCCCTAGATGTGTGAACTTTAACAATGTCTGTGTTCAAATTAGCATCAAACCTATTAGATATCTAAATAAGCCAGCCAATCTACAGGAGCCTACCGAGGAAACTTTACTAAGTCTGTTCTTACCTTGTGTGGGGCAGAGGAATTGGCAAAGAAATGCAGAGGAAAGGGTCAAAAGTGTTGCTCTGCTTCTGACAGTGAGGACATGTCAAAGAAGATCTTTGAAAATAAAAATTTAATAAGACACATTAAAATCATATGTGAAACAGAAAAAAAAACAAGAAAACATTTTATTTGCTCATACCTGTACTGGGCTTGAAAAAGTTCTTGTACAAAAGTGCTACACACAGGAAAAGATGGTCCCTCGGGCATCATATCTGTCTCTGATGGAGGCTATAAAAAAGAAGTAGCAATTCTTGTTGAAGATGAGCCTAAAGAGACTTCCCTAGCAAGCTGTATTTGGAGGAGGTGCTTCGGTGCAGACACCTGCTGCTACAGGAACTAGAGAACAGCAACAGCCTGTGGGCTACCTCCAGAGACTCTGCCGCTAACCCTGTTCATCCACCTCTAATCCAGGCAGCTCTCCTGCCCCAGCAGGCCCCTCAAAGCCCCACTGTAACCTTGCCACGACATAATTCCAACCACTCTGGAAGTCCCAACCTGTCCCCATGTCTAAATTCTCCAGCACCTATTAGCTGTGCTGTTCATTCTGACACCTAATCATACTCTGCCTCACATGAGATTCAACTTTTCATGTCCTTTTACTTCACGAGTTATGAGCACCTGCTGCCACATGCAGAGGGCAGTGTACAAGACATCCGGATACAAGAGAAGCGATGCTTGGGGCCTGGCGTTGAGGATGTCTCACCGTGGCTGGCATCAGCCGCAGACATATAATCATGACAGTGTGGTACTCAGCACAAAAGGATCTTGAACCAGAATAATTTAGCAACTTAGCAAAACTAGAAATTTAAAGTGTGAAGCACAGAGGAGAATCAAAACCTTTATAACCTAAGTAACTTTTTTTTGTTTTGTTTTGGGGTTTTTTTGTTGTTTTTGTTTTTGTGGTCGTGGGTCTTGAACTCTGGGCCTGGGCACTGTCCCTCAGCTCTTCAGCTCAAGGCGAGCGCTCTACCACTTGAGCCACAGCGCCACTTCCTGTTTTCTGGTGGTTAATTGGAGATATAGAATCTCATGGACTTTCTTGCCCAGGCTGGCTTTGAACCACAATCCTCAGAAATCGGCCTCCTGACTAGCTAGGGTTATAGGTATAAGCCACCGGCACCTGGCTAAGTAACTCTTTAGTCTCAATTTTTTTCCCACTATATAAACCACTTTGGCCATCACAGTAAGGGCTACATGAACAGAATCTGAGTATGAATCATTATAGTTCTAGTAAGGACATTAGGAGGTTTAAGTTTCTATGCTCAAAGCCAATTCTACCAGCAGAGACAACCATAATTCCCCTTTTGATTGTGTATGTGTATGTGTTTCAATGTATCTTACTAGAATACAAAGCAAATGGTTCCCCCTCAGCCAACTCTGTCTGAGTTCCTCAAGGACAGTATCTTAATGTACCTTAATGGAAGTACATGGTACACAAGGTGGAATGTCCCTGTACGTATCACCAAGAGCTTAGTGTATGTCACCCTATTAACTAAGTGCAGCAAGTAGGGCTTGGGAGGGGACTTTCCACTCCTCTTCCTGGGTTCCCAGCTGCTCCCTGCTCTGCGTGCCCTAGGCAGCACGCATCCTCACCTTCAGAGGAGGCTGGCCACTCTCCTTTATGGCATGATTGAGGTCTTCGTGAACTCGGTCCAAAAGCCACAGCAGAAACTCCTGGGCGTCATGCTGGGAATTTCCACGATACTGCAGTGCATTCTTTGACACAATACTCTATGCAAATAAATAAGTCTGCATGAGTTCCTGGCTGTGAGAGAAAACTACTTCTCATAATCCCTATAAAGACATACACGATCTCCAAGGTATTGGAGAGTACGTCCCAGAATAATAGCAGTGTAAAAACAGATGTTTAATGTAGACACATGTACTGAAAACCTTCAAGTGCTCTCAACTGGTCACCCTACTTTCTAGAGTATATTTGAAGGAAACCATTAGAACAGAATGCCAAGGCTCCTAAGAAAACAGTCACCAGGTTTGTAACAGCAACACATCAAGAATAAGATAGCATCTGAGATTACAGCACAACTATAGGACATAATCATAATCTAAACAATACACCTGTATTGTGAAAAAAGCTGGAAACAGTTAAGGTATGGGTGTTTAAAACTATGAACACAGACCCATACATACAGAGAAAAAGTTTTAAAAATGAAACATACTAGGATATCCAGTTTCATCTCTGGGAGAGAATTACAAGTGCTCGTCTTACTTTTCATATTTTCTATGATGATATATATTACATAATAAAGTAGTTAACTTTTTCGTGTGCCGGTACTGAGGCTTGAACTCAAAACTTCACTCTTAATTGGCTTTTTCTCTCAAGGTTGATGCTCTACCACTTGAGCCATACTTCCACTTCTGGCTATTTGCTACTTAATTGGAGTTAAGAGTCTCACAGACTTTTCTACTTTTCTACCTTTGTCCAGGCTAGCTTTGAATTGAAATCTCAAATCACAGCCTCTTGAGTAGCTATGATTACAGGTATGAGCCACTAGCCCCCAGCAAATAGTTAACAATTTTGTCTCAAACTTTACAGTACGGTTTACACTAATTTTCTTTATATATCTTGTTTTGGGAGACAGGCTCTTACTATGCATCCCAGGTAAGACTCAAACTCTCAATCCTTCTACTTGAACCTCATGAGGGCTGGTATTACAAATGTGTGCCATTAGAGCCAACTTTATTTTTCTGGGTTTAAACTAATTTTGTTAAAATGCTAAATTTTTATGTAAGCTGCAAGACATCTTCTGGATTCATTATCTGTTTAAGAAAGAGGTAATAGAAGCCCTGATGAGAGAGATAGGGTAGAGTTGAAAATTCAAGAATAGCAGGATGGACATAATGTGGTAGGAGGCACATTTCTCACAGTGAGTGCAAAGCTATCCACAAACAGGAAGAGAAGGCTCTAGTATGAACTCATGTTTAGTTTATATGCATAAAGACAGGTTAAGTAACTACCTTTACACACTTGGGTTTGTACTTGTGCATCTTTCTCAGTTGTTTATGGAAAGGCACAGAAGCACGGATACCATCCATCCTATCAAGCAGCAGACACAGCCCATGGTTCTTGTTCTCCAGGACCACAACCATTACCCAGAAACAGCATTTCCTAAGGAAATGGCTGATTCTAGGACAAGGAGTCTGCCTGTGAAGAGAGCCAGGAACCAACTAAAGGCTCCCAATAACCAAAGCTAGAACACTTGTAGCAATGAAAGAAATAACATGGATTAGAATCCACCATGTAAAATCAATGCATCTATCGTGACATTAACTAAATGTCTGAATGACCAAAACAGGTAACAGAAAAATCTTCCCTACAGCAGAATCCAAACTATGGTATACTGCTAATCACCCGCTCCAGAAGGTGCCATTTATTGCCCCATAGTGACGATGGACTATAATTGACTTGCTTCCAAAGAGCAAATACAGAAAGCCAGCAAGATACTCCAAGAAAATCAGGAGAATGAAGTCCCAAGAGTTAAGTGAAGAGTTTCACAGAATAGAGAAAGATCACTGGCATTAGAAGCAAAGAAAGATAAAGCAAGCCAAAAACTAAAAGCTGTCTATGGTGTTTCCCAGTAAGATGATAATAACAGAGATGAAGGTCTCTCCTTGCAGCGTCGGCGTGAGAGCAGAGTCCGAGTGGCGACCGCGGAGAGTCATGGCCGGACAAGCATTTAGGAAGTTCATTCCTCTGTTTGACCGAGTGCTGGTCGAAAGGAGTGCAGCTGAAACTGTGACCAAAGGAGGCATTATGCTTCCAGAAAAGTCTCAAGGAAAAGTATTGCAAGCCACCGTAGTGGCTGTGGGATCGGGCTCTAAAGGAAAGGGTGGAGAGATTCAGCCAGTTAGTGTGAAAGTGGGTGATAAAGTTCTTCTCCCAGAAAATGGAGGCACCAAAGTAGTTCTAGATGACAAGGATTATTTCTTATTTAGGGATGGTGACATTCTTGGGAAGTATGTAGAGTGAATACATCACTAAAATGGCATCCTGTGAAGCTGCCCATTCCATGGAAGTTCTGAGGTCTTTCATCATGCAAATAATTTCCATATCTCCCTTTTATAATAAACTGATGGTAACTAAGCTAATGGAAAAAAAAAATAACAGAGATGAAAAAGGCACAGATTTTCAACTTAATTTGAACTATCATACTTGATCGGTTAGATCTTGAATCACAAGAAGTTGATATAAAAGCCATCTGGATATGTTTTCTAAGACTTGAGACTCAGACTGAGGTGGAATCAAAGAATGTCAGTGGACACAGTGAAGGAGGGAAGGGTTATCAGTGACTAGGAAGAAGGCACAGGCGCCACCTCACGAACAGGCCCACAGAGGAGGCAGCAAGGTGCAGGGAAAGCCTTCACCATATACACTTCCACCACACAGAGGCCACCAGTCACCCACATCGCCAAATCCAGCTTCTTCCGTGCCCCCAACTCAGTCTCTCAGAAGCACTTGGACACCTTTCTCCATTGTGAATGGGTGGCTTGTGGCCTGATATCCCCTCATTTAGCAGACTCAAAACCAAAGCCAATAAAAGAATGTGAGCTAGACAAAAAGAGAAGATGACCTCATTTTTTTTAACTAGACCACTTTTTTTTAAGACATCATTAACACTAGTAGTTACACCTGTGGCTGACTCAGGCTGGGAGAGAAATGGGTGTCTGGTAACCCCAGACTGAGAGCACTAGACAGAAAGCCAGGGATCAAACCAGGTTTTCAGTGTCTAGCTTAGGAGGCTAATAAAATAAGGAACAGAGGAAGAAATTGGGGGCTACAGAGTTTTGAATAGGGCTGAGTCTACGACACCCATTCCCATCATCCCACACAAGGCTAAGGTTAGGTCTGGTGTTCAGGAAAGCAATCCAAGTGGGCAACTTAAATGAGGAGAGCACAGAACCATCATTTGAGAATAGCGGGCACCATCTAGTAAGAAAGGGCATGCCATAGGAAAGGAGCATCCCATTACCAGGCAGCAGGGGCTCACACCTGTTATCTCTTCTAGTCAAGAGGCTGAAATCTGGAGTACTGCAGTTCAAATCCAGCCCAGGCAGGAAAAAAAAAATCTGTAAGACTCCATTTGCATGTAACCAATAAAATTCAGACTGGAGGGTTGGGTCAAGTGGTAGGGCACCAGCCAGGAGTAACAAAGCTGAGAACACAAGGCACCAAGTTCAAGCCTTGAAATGTCCTCCCCCATGAAAACAGAGGCATGTGTAGCATCTACAAGTAAGAGGGGAGACCTCCAAGAAGATGGAAGCCATGTGCAAACCACTGTGGGAAAGCAATGGGACATGTCCTTTGGGGCAAATGAGAGGGCTTGCTTTGTGTCATCTTGAGCAAGCTGAGTTGGAATCAAAAGGGCTACAAGAGAAGGGACAACTAACAGGGACGACTGTCCACTACACAAAGCTGAGTTAAAAGGAGAAAAAAAAAAAAAGATGCTACCGGGATCTGACAATGAAAGCCACAGCTGATGGAAAGAAGAAACCTCGGAATTCTTCCATTCAGGGAAGGGGGGCTTCAAAAACAGGCAGAGGAATTTGCCTTCAAGAGAAAATAGGGAGACAGGAGACAAGCAGGCAAGGACCTATCTTAGTCCTAGTCTTAATAGAGAGATAATGACAGGCCTCAGAGGATAGAGTTGGGTCATACTAACCACCAGAAGCACAACAAACCTCTCTTCTAAAAGCTCTAATTTTTTTTTGAAATAGGAAAAAAAAAATGAGAGCAAACAGTTAACAGCCTATGCATCTACCCCCCCACAAAAAAACAAATTAGCTGAAATCAAACTCCTCATTGTGCATCAAAGTCAATGTTTTATACGCAGTGTCCATTCCAGGAGGGACCTGGCATTCTTCATCAGGTCTGAACTAAATTTAGTTATGCCTCTTGCCACTGCCCCCTCCACTCCTGTGGAATCCTCACCAATCTCTGGGACTAAGGCACTGCACTAGTTGCTGTGCTAGGCTGCTGAATAAGACTTCTACTGGGCAAGACTAAACAGGCCCCTGGACTTCCTCAACCCTCCTAAGTAGGCACAACGCTGCCAGCCCAAATCTTCACCCAAACTCTATCTAGTGGGCAGTTTGGTTTATGTCTGAGTCACATCTGATGTGGCTTTGATTTGCTGTCTATGATTTTTTTTTTTTTACTTACTAAAGCTTCTTACTGCAGCTTTTCTAAAGTTGATCATCACTGCCATCTATAAAAAGCAGCTTTGCTACTCTAATATTGAAATTATTCAAGTATGTGGTTTCCATGAAAAATGAAATGTAGGCCTTCTTCAAATTAGTCCTATATATTTGAGTCTGCTTTACAAAATTTGGGTATAGTGTTTCCATTTGGAAAAATATTAAACTGTCTATTGGCTTAAATCTTGTATGTATTACTATGTATAAATGTAACCACTGCTCCAATCTTCTTCTCAGTAATGGCTCTAAATACCAAAATACTTGCAGGGTTTTATAATTTCAAAACGTTTTTTTCAATCCTTCAAAGAGATAACATTTTTATCTTAAATACAAACAGTGGGTTAGAATCACAGCTCAGGAAAGATGGCGGTTGTAAAATCTACACAGCTGGAGCTATGTAACTGGACCTGAGGTCCTTTCTTCCCACAGAGCCCCAGGCAAGAGAAAGCAGCACTCAGGGTTCTAGAGAAGGCACTGGCTGCTCCCAGACACCCCTCACTATCACCCGACCTGGGGGA